GGATCAGAGCAAGCTTACGTCTGTTCTAATTCACTAACAATTCTTCAAGAAAGAGCTCGTTATAACCTGATAATGATCGGTCATGGAACCCGGATTTGTGTCCCTGGAAAGTCATCAGATTATATAATAACGAGGATCCATTTCCATGATAACTGAACTACGTGGAGATCCGGGACCCCCGACCTGCTGACCGGACACTCCCCCCGGGAGCCCCATACAAATGTATTATATTGTAACTCATTGTGTATCAGGTTTCTTGCCCTCTCTGCACCCCGGGACTATTCCGGGAGCTAAATCATCGATTCCTAAACACGTATGATCAGATCTTCAGCCGTGTGCAATGTCTGCTAACACGCAGTCCATGATGTAAAAGATGAGAACTGTGCATTGCCCACCATGCTGGGAGTTGTAGTTCCACAGCGGTATCCACCCACACGTCCCATTCTACTAATAGCTGCGCTCCCCTCACAGATGTTACTCGGCACCAGTTACAGAACTGGGGAATCTGCAGCCAGAGGAAATGAGATCTCTGAGATGAGCGCCCCCCACTGGAACCTACCGGAACTGCCAGCCGGTCACCAGGTTGGTGTACTTCATCAGGTAGCCGCAGATGCTCTCCATGTGGTCACTGCAAGAGACAAAATCAGAGGGTTAGGAGAAGCAAATCCCCCCACATATCCCAACCTCGTCATGTGACATCACACAGCTCTTTTATCTTACATCATTGTCATGTGACATCACACAGCTCTTTTATCTTACATCATTGTCATGTGACATCACACAGCTCCGTTGTATGACAATCGTTGTATGACATCACACAGCTCCGTTGTATGACAATCGTTGTATGACATCACACAGCTCCGTTGTATGACATAATCGTTGTATGACATCGTCATGTGACATCACACAGCTTCGTTGTATGACATCGTCATGTGACATCACACAGCTCCGTTGTATGACATCAGCGTCATGTGACATCACACAGCTCTGTTCTATGACATTGTCATGTGACATCACACAGCTCCATTATCTTACATCATTGTCATGTGACATCACACAGCTCCATTATCTTACATCATTGTCATGTGACATCACACAGCTCCATTATCTTACATCATTGTCATGTGACATCACACAGCTCCATTATCTTACATCATCGTCATGTGACATCACACAGCTCCGTTGTATGACATCAGCGTCATGTGACATCACATTGTCATGTGACATCACACAGCTCCATTATCTTACATCATTGTCATGTGACATCACACAGCTCCATTATCTTACATCATCGTCATGTGACATCACACAGCTCCGTTGTATGACATCAGCGTCATGTGACATCACACAGCTCTGTTCTATGACAGTATCATGTGATTTTGTACCCAGGGGGCTCTGAACCATGATGACAGGAAGTATGCAGAGAGAGAGCAATGCGCTGCCACTCTCCCCCCTGTGCCTGCCCCCCCCATCATACACCTCTGTGCTCCCCACCCCCGCAGTGACACCCTTCCACGCTCAGCCGGTTGAATACACGGCCACATTTTTGCCATTTATATACAAATCCAGATTTCGTTCTTCAGAGTCGGGAATAGTTCAATTATTTATTCTGTTTCTTCCCCTTCACTTTCCGGTCTTGTAGACACAACAGATGAGAAGAAATCCCTCCTAGACGGTTGTCACTAGAACAGGCGACCCCATTGGAAGATTTCACATCACTTCCTGCTCCGCTTCCCATCACTCAGTCTCAGTGATACACAGATGAGGGGGCGGGGTCACAGCAATACAAATCTGACGGATGTTCTAACCCCTCCTCCCCACCCCCATAGAGAATAAAGTTCTGACTTCAGGAGACTTTGATCCGATTCTTCCTCTGACCTCCGGCCTACATTCGGGGCACAGAGCCGGTCTGCTGATCCGAGAGTGACAGAAATGGAGTCACATGACCAGCAATCCCCTCCGAACCCGACATGAGTCAGCCATCTACTTCCTGCTGAACACACAAAATTCATCCCAAATGTGTCTGCGATCTCTCCGTCACGATGGTTTGTTCTTCTTTTTCCCGGTACAACCCGCAGACCAAAAACAACTGTACGGGATCACCGCCCACACCACAGGTCTGAGAGACAGAGCGTCAAAGCTTCTCATTGGTCAGCGCGGTCACAAGGGCTTCTCATTGGTCAGCGCGGTCACAAGGGCTTCTCATTGGTCAGCGCGGTCACAAGGGCTTCTCATTGGTCAGCGCGGTCACAAGGGCTTCTCATTGGTCAGCGCGGTCA